GTGGGCCTTCTGCACATCCACATTTCATTTCATTGCTGGAAAGCAGAAGCTTCCCAGAGCTTTTTGCCAATTGACAGGTGGTGGGAAAGAGCAAATCTCAGTGCTTACAATGAGATGGAGAAAGCTCCTAGGCATGGAGAAGTAAATATACCCACGCAGAGAAAAGGCCTGCCAGAAATACCACAGGGTGCTGATGGCGGGCAAAGTCAGGAAAGAACACGAAGCCAGCTCCTTGATAACAAACAGCTGAGGCTAAAATGTGAATTGCAAGCGACCCCAAAATAAAGCAAAGAGAGGCCATTAGAGATTAATTCATGAAAACCCCATGCAAAAAAGACAAAATGGAAGGCAAAGCCACGTATAGTTTAAAGCTCCTGACTGCATTTTTCCTAGTTTGGAAGAAGTAAATTAAAGTAAATTAAACCAGAAAAAAAATAAATACCTGTGAGAACTTCACTGTCACTGGACAGAGTAAGTGACAAGAAACTAACAATTTTTATTAACTAAGTACCATGCATGAGGCACCATGCTGGGAAAAGTGGAAGTTGTAGGTAGTAAGCTCATAAACTCAAAGAGCTTGTAGTACCTTATGAAGATAATCCTGAACACTGTATTTGTGTTTATGAAGTGAAAAAAAATACATCCATAAATACTACCAAAATTTAGTGAAAAGAGACAAGATTGTTCAATATAAAGAGAAAGAAAATTTTATTGAGCAGGACCTTGAAAGACAGGTCTAATCTGGGCAGGTAGGAAGTAGAGAAAGGCAGTGCCAGCAGAGGAAACAGAATGAAATTTAAATACACATCACATGTTCAAAGGAACAACCATTACGCCAAGGGAAACATAGGACTTTGGGGCTAATGAAAGATGAGTGTGAAAAGGAACCAGATGTTGGAGGGCCAGATTAAATAGTTCTAACCTTACCTGTTAGAGGCACTGAAGATTTCAGAATGTTTAAAAAAAAAAAAACTATAAAATTTTCTATGAGTTCTATAAGAATTAAAGAGGAAAGATATTTTATAATCTTTTAGTGCTAGAAACAGCTTATCATCTCACATTCATCATATCATACAAACAAGTACTCTTCAGTTCTCAAACCTCTTGAACTTCCATTTGTAATAGGGAAAAAAAGATCTTCAAAGAAAGAATTTCTTAACTTCTGAATAATGAAACATCACCTCTGATATAGCTTCAGTTATTTTAGCACACAAATTATAATTACTAGTTCTAAGTAGAAAACAAAGTTTCAAATACGGGAAGGAATCTCATATTTTGAATTCACATATTAAACATTTTAGAATATCTTTAGAGCTAAGATAAACTAATACCAATTTCTGTCTCTTGGTTTAAGAAAGTAACTTGTTCTTCAAAACCCTTCCTTGGAAGAAAACTTATTTTCCTTAATTTATATGAAAAGAAACCTATAGGGATGCCTGGGTGGCTGAGAGGTTGAGTATCTGCCTTTGGTTCAGGGCATGATCCCAGTTCAGGGATCAAGTCCCACCTCGGGCTCCCTGTGAGGAGCCTGCTTCTCTCTCTGCCTATGTCTCTGCCTCTGTGTCTCTCATGAACAAATAAATAAAATCTTAAAAAAAAAAAAGAAAAAAAGAAAAAAAGCTGTTATTAGCACCCAATCACTCATTAAAAATAAAATCTCAAAATCATTGTTTTCCCTAATAAAGCAAACACCTCTATAAAACAAGAATCGTAAGTAAATAAAGGCTTAGGGAAGATACCATAAGATAATAGAGCAAAATAACAAAAGGAAATTAAACATCAGCATATGTAGCTTAAGAATGAAGTATAAAGGGATCCCTGGGTGGCACAGGGGTTTAGCACCTGCCTTTGGCCCAGGGCGTGATCCTGGAGACCCGGGATCGAATCCCACGTCGGGCTCCCGGTGCATGGAGCCTGCTTCTCCCTCTGCCTATGTCTCTGCCTCTCTCTCTCTCTCTCTCTCTCTCTCTCTCTCATAAAAAAAATTAATAAAAAAAAAAAGGAATGAAGTATAAAAGAAAAAGGAAACCATAACAGAGAAAAAGAAAATCCACATTGAACACAGGACAAAGAATAGACTGCTGAAAATATGTGACAAGACATGATAAGCAAAACAAGCCAACAAAATAGAAGCCAACAGACAATTTAAGAGGACTTTCAACATAAGCTTAATCAGTATTCTCAAAGAAAAGCAAAGTGATTAAAAAATGTTAATGTTCAATCCATTATATATTCTTACTCAAGGACAATGGCCCAGCAAAACATTTTGAAATGTGAGAGACACCAGGGAATGCAGTTATGATCCCTATGAGCGGACAGAGTTCAACACTTAGTTGAACTTAGAAACTATGGCACAAGGCCTAGAGGTGAACTGTGAATCCACGTAACTATAGAACTAGAACAAGAAATTATGATTGCTAATCATAAATGTTATACTATATATACCCATTAGAGATGTGTTATAAACCCTGACAATATATATATATTTAAAACCATATGGCTCTTATTCATGATAAAATCAATAATGTAAACATTTCCGGAGTAATTAGGCAGCAATTCACAAACCTAAAAATATCTCATTTAGTTCTTGCAATGATTTAACGAATGATCCATCAACTTATAAGCAAAATGATTCTTTGATGTCTTATGCCCCCTATCTGTCTCTTTGAGTTGGTTGTTTTGGTTGGTTGGTTTTATTGTTGTGGTTAGTTGGTACAGCTTAAAAAAATTAAGGGCCGTGTGGACAACTACTTCTGAAGAAACCAAGCTTGATTTTATTAGTTTCTTAGGAAACTATGGCAGTCAATGAATTGAAGGTAATGAAAACTTCAGTCATTTACACCAAAGATGACCCTGTCTATCTAGGATTCTCCCACTCTAGCAGTCTTCTTCTAGTGTCTTTGGTTATCAACTTTCTTCTGGGTAACTGTGGACCTGGGAAATGAACTCCATTCCCAATGGTCAATTAAGTCAAACGCAACTCCCACTGTGCAAAAAGTGAGTGTCTAACCTTAGAAACATTATGCAATTTTGTATCACTAGCAGCCTTAGCAACTGATTTTTTTCCTTATTCTTGAAAACTGTTGGCACCACTGAAACAGAGTTTTGTGGAAGACAGACATCTCTGCATCTTTGACCTACTTCAATCTGTACTTAGAGGAACTATTTTCCTCTCCTTATTTGGTTTCACAGCTTCATTTAATATGTTATGCATCATTTATTCTCATTTGGGGACTATGGTGCTAAAAATAATAAAAATGAGAGTTTAAAATGGGCATGTTCAATTAACAAAAGTGCCTTGTTTGGCTGTGATCTCCAGACTGTTTCAATCCATAACCATAAGAAGTATAAGATTTGTGAGCAAAAAAAAAAAAAAAAAAAGATTTGTGAGCATTTGATATATTTATTTACAGGTGAATTGTGCACATGCTGAATTAATATTGTTTGTACACTACAAGGCATAACATAGGAGGGCTGTATTTAAGTGTATTTTTCAAAAATACACTTGAGCTATGAGGTTGTACCTACTAAAACTGTTTAACATGTAAAGGTCAGCAATTATGGGCACTTGCCTTTTTGTAAAAGAAATATGCAGTAACAATTTTCTGTTCTTTCCTTCCATGAGGTAGAAATACATTGATGCTCATTACTCATCTCATCACAAAGTGCATACAAAGATGCTACTATATTTCAAAGGTTTTGCTGTTCTAGAATCAACTAAGTAATACTGTTCTATGGCATTCTGTCTACATCTGGCTTTAACTCATGTGGTCTCCTTCAATAGCTTGCTCAACAACTTGCTTGTGAATATTACAGTAAAAGAACATCATAAAGGTCACCATTAATGACAGTGAGAGCAGTCCTTATTTCAAATAACTTGATCATTTCTATTGAGCAGCGCTGACTTCTGATCAGATTTCATGAAATTATTTTTACCCCAAATGGGAATATCTGCCATCTGTTACTACTATCCACTCTTTTCTTCCTAACAGCAACTCAAAGGGCACATGACTACACAGAGCGAAGACAACGTTTTTCCAGTCTCTTCTCCCTTGCAGCTACCCATGGCATTAAAACTAAGTTTAGGTCACTAGGGTATAAGTAGAAACAATGGATAGCCTTAAGAGGAAAGGAGTATCTTCTGCTTCTGCTTCCTTTCCTCTGACCTAGCTAGAATCCAGATGTGATGGCCAAAATCTAAGCAGCCACCTTGCAGCAAGAGGGAAACGCCTGGTGTTGAGGCAGCCAGCACAGTAAGAGGAAAGGAATCTGGGTCTTTTATGAATTTGTTGCCATCAAGTCAGCCCTGGACTGCCTGTGTTTATGTAGGAGAAATATACTACTGTCTTTTTTGAGTTTTGTGAGATTTTGGGTTTTCTGGCTCTTGATGTAGGAGGGATCACTAATAGATACACCTGGGAACAGATGATGAAAAGCTCATGCAAAGGCTCAGAGAAGACTCAGCTCTGCCATCTTGTCACATCACGTGCTTATGATGTCCCTATGGCCTTTACTCTGCAGCTTAACAGAAATTGCATTTAAGCCACTTGCCCATATTGTTAGGATTTGTCTAAATAAGGAAATAATATAACCACTATGTCTACTCTATCAGGGATACATGAACTGCAGCATTTATCAACAACTTTGAAAGCAAATGAATGAGGGGGCCACCATCAAGCAACCTCCACTCTTCAGACAACTCAAGACTCATGTGTAACATCATCCATGTTAAACATGAATAAAGTTTCTTTTTATTTCCTGATACACACACACACACACACACACACACACACACACACAAATTCTACTTTTCCTTTGTTCCTCTCCCATTCTTATCAGCAAATGTCTACACACATCTCCCTGGTGTACAAGCACTCCACTATCAAGGGCACAGACAGGAAAAAAATCTACATAAATAAGTATTCTTTCTAAGACTGAAAACTTATAAAAGCAAATGGTAAGTCAAGGGGTGGGTATACATAAAGATTTTTGTGCCTTACCTGAATACGTCCAGAACAGTCCTTTCTGATAACTTGGGAGCTACCAGCCTAAATGCTTTCTTGAAATCTTCCAAAGTTAAATACCCACGATCTATTTGAAATCAAAATATAAAACATTCACTTGCTTCTATAAACCCTGTGAACGGTTATCTCAGTCTTATTTCTCTGAAACCTTATTACTCTAAGAAGAGCAGTAAATATAAGGTAATCTGAGATTGTTTCATTGGAAGAATTTAAGAATCTACTAACACTCTCCTTCTGTGCAATTCCAGATGATCCCATAGGTTATTAGTTGATTCTCTGAGTGACAAGGAATGGAATGCAGACATACACTGCCATAATGGCATTTAGGCTTCAAGTCTATGCAAATTGTTGAAACAATTTACTCTTCAAAAATACTGTTTTTCTTGTTTGGTGTTAGAATTGCAAAGATGCTGACCCTGGACTCCACAAGTCTTCCCAACCTGTATGTGATCTGTGGGGCATAGGCGGTTCAAAACCACTTCTCTTAGCTATATCCAGTGTGAGAAAAAAAACCTTTCCAATCATGTGGGGTCAGAGTAGGAGTCAAAGGAAAAGCCCATATGGTTCCCCACACCTTTGTAGGTGGCTCATGACCTATATTCCCACATGGCCAGTCCTTTGGCTATTCCCATTACAATGGAGACAAATCCTAAGTACAATTACATAACTGTAAATATTATTTTATCCATGGCAAAGGTCAAGAATTTAAGATTGTGATAGGGAAAAAAATTCACACCAACGTCTAGGTAATAGCTAATGGATATAGTAAAATAATCTTCCAAGCATATTATTTTATTTACTGAGAGTACATAGCAACTTTTCTTAATAGCAATTTTTTAATAGCAAAACAGTTTAAAGATACTTACAGTGCCTGTCAAAAGCTGTAAAGATGTGTCTTATTTCATTCCGATGGAGTTGGACTTCTTTCTTTTTTCTTACAATACTTAAAAACTCCTCAAGCAATATACCTAAAAGTCAGAAAAAATAATTAGCAAAAATGACCATCTTCCTCTTTAAGAAAAAAAATAAATGAAAAGTGATACATATCATGAACAAATTTTATCTTAGTTTTGATGAACAGTGCATATTCCTAAAGATCTATAAAGCTGAAAAAACATTTTGCTAAATGCTAAATAGGCCCAACCCCAGCAATCATTGGCAAAAAATGATAGGCATTGTTGGAGTTCACTGAGCTTTTCCAGGGGATAAAGGAATGGTGACCTCAAAAAAGTGTAATACTCTAGACTCCAAAAGGCATAACAGGTCAGAAACTACTTATTAAACAAGGTGTCCTAATTTTTCTTTCCTTATAGTTCTTTGATCCCTTTTTTCCTAGCCAGATGTCATTATGGCAGGGTTTTTTGTTTTTTTGGTTTTTTTTTTTTGTTTTTTTTTTTTTTGCAACTGGGAGATCGGGGTGAAGAAGTAGTTTCTCAAAAGTCAATACCAATTGCATACCAGAGATAAAGGTGGAGAGAATATTCCATAAACAATAGAGCTGGCATCGTCCCCAGCCTTGGGTATACTCCACCATTACTCTGCAGCCTCAGGCTCTGCTTCCTGTGATTCTCAGAATAAAAGAGCCCAGCATGATCATATGAGGTTGGATACTGTGCTTACAATGTCTATTAAAATGAATTCTAATGTGGATCTTTGTAGTAGGTTTAAAGAGTAGAGCCAAGAATTTAAACATTTTAGTGAACTGAGCCCTAAATATATAAAAAGAACAGTTCGTTTTAGTAATTCAGAATTCCCATTACAAAATGTATCACTATTTTAAAAATAGCCCCAAATCATACAATAACTATGTGCTAATTTTTAAGAACCTGCACTTTTGGTGAGGTAATACTGAGCTGTATACGTTTCCCAAAATAGCTCCAATGGTTTAAAAAAAATAACATAGAAAATAGTTTTCTTAAGGGAACCTCTGTCCAATGTTGGTAGGAATGTAAATTGGTGCAGCCACTATGAAAAACAGTATGGCAGTTCCTCAAAGAATTAACAGAACTACCATATGATTCAGCAATTTCCCTTCTGGGTATTTACCCAAAGAAAACAAAAACACTAATTGAAAAGGTATCTGTACCCTCATATTCACTGCAGCATTATTTATACTAGCCAAGACATAGCAGCAACCCAAGTGTCCACTGGTGGGTAAATGGATAAAGAATGTGTGATACATACACACACACACACATACACACAGTGGAATACTATTCAGCTATTAAGAAAAAAAAGAATGAGATCTTGCCATTCTCTACAATATGGATGGACATGGAGGGTATTATGTTCAGTGAAATTAGACAAGGTATGATTCCACTTACATGTGGAATCTAAAAAACAAAACAAATTAATAAACAAAACAAAGCTTAAGAGATACAGAGAACAGATTAGTAATTACCAGAGGGGAGGAGGAGGGGACTGGGTGAAATGGGTAAAGGGGATCAAGAGGTACAAACTTCCAGTTATAAAACAAATAGGTCATGGGAATGTAACACACAGCATGGTGGCTATAGGCAATAATATTGTATTGCATATTTTAAGGTTACTAGGAGAATAGATCTTGAAAGTTCTCATCAAGAGAAAAAAGAATTTTGTTAATCTGTATGATCACAGATGGTAACAACTTATTGGGTCACCATTTCACAATACATAAACATATTGAATCATTATGTTAAACACCTTAAACTAATATGTTCTGTCAATTACACTTTACTAAAAATATAGTTTTATTTCCCACATTTTTCTTATTTGTAGCTAAAGGTTTAGAAACTTAAAAAGTCAATCTATGTTTAGGACCCACTAGGTGCCACAGTGTTGAGCTCTGGAAATAGAAAAGAGAACATGCATGATTCCAGTTCCAACGGAGTTACTGGTCTAGTGGAGGGGAGACAGTGATTATACAGGTTCAACTGCACAAGTACACATACTTATAAATCATGGCATATGAATGAAGAGAGAAAATAGGAAGTTCTAAAAGGATGACAGGAATTCTCCTGCAGAGTAGATACTGATGGAGTACTCTCCAAGTGGAGAGAATATTTAAGATAAGATCTATGATAAGAAGGTACCAAGTGGCTAAAAGCAAGGAGGAAGAACATTCCAGGAAGTGGAAACAGCATATGCCAAGGCCATTTGGTGGGAAGGGAGAGAACAAAACTGGCCACTGTGACTGGAAAGTGATATAAGAGGACAGGGTTGGCAAGGCAGTCAGGGCCAGAATGCACTGGCCCTTGTGGGCCACAGGAAATAATTTGGATTTTATTTGAGGTGCAACAGGCAGCCAATGAAAAAATGAGAATTGGGAAGTGACACAGCATGATTTAAATTTTTTAAAGATCTTTCTGGCCATTTTCTCAAAAAAGGACTAGGGAGAAAGCAAAATGAAAGGTGAGACCAGTCAGGATCCTGCTGGCCAGAAATAAGGTTGCTAGACTGCCAGCAGCAGGAACAGAGAGGAGTGGAAGGTTTCTAGACATTGCTTGAAATAGATGAGGGGTGAGATGTGGTGGGTCAGAAAGGAGATGCCAAGAGTAACTCCTAGGTCCTGGCTTGAGGAGTCATTTTGAGATGAGAAAGACAAAGGGGAGAGGTGTAATGTGAACAAATCAACTGTCTGATGCTTTGGAGACAGACCATGAGCAAAAGTCAAGGCAGCAACTGCATATCCCTAAGCAACAGGGCACACCTCCCAGCACCTCCCAGGGCGCCTGGCATGTACTCAGTAAATGTGTGTTGTATGGAACTAGTATATGCAGCCTTCCTCCCATCACAGCTGAAGATCTGTAGGGATGCAGCTCTGTTCTCATCTGGTGACCTCTGAGAACGGAGAACATACTCAGACCACTTGCTGAGGATAAAACTGAAGTCTAGTCATGCCACGTTCCCACAGGATCAAATCCGTTAACTTTACCTTCATGCACGCCAAAATCTCATCAATTAGATAGCATCTAGATTAGCTGAAATTTCTGAATAATATATTTACTGATCTCAGGGTGCCCTAGGAGACCCTTCACAATCTCCTCCAGTCTACCTTTCTGGCCTCTCTAGCAAACTTCCTGAGGCTTCCCCCAGGCAACAGACCCTTTTATACCTTTGGGCACGTTGCCTGGAAGGGCTTCTCCTTTCTCTCCTACTGAAAATTTACATCCCCATCCATATGCAAGTAGTGCATACCTCTTCTTTGAAGTCTTCCCTGGTTTCTCCCAGTTGAGTCCCTTTTTTATGACCTCTGTTCATAACAGATATTTTTTCATCTATTAGGTCCAATAGTAATGATTTGATCATATGTCTACCTGAGAACCTCTGAAGGGAAGCTCTGTATGTGGTTTAAAATTTTATCCCCAGTGTTTAGCATGCCTGGCACATAGTAGGTATGCATTACATGTTTGTTGAATAAGTAAATAGGACGATGTTATTTCCAGTTTTCAGCAAAAAGCACAAAAATGTGTTTTAAATGATCTCATAACTCTGTAAAACTAATATGCCAAAAGGAGGTTACTTTCTCTTCACCTAGCCAGCAAAATAAACCATTATTTTAGAAACCCCTATTTCTCAATCCATATGATACAGTAGAAAACAAAATTCAGAGAAAAAGCTATACATGCATAATATTTGTCCTTTACTTAATCATTCCATCTGATTTAGGGAAATGATAAGAAAAAAAACCAGGATAAATCCATGGTTCAATGCGTGATTCATACACACAGACAAAGGACATTAGTAATATCTTCTAAATTACATATTTAGAAAACCTATTGGTATTTGGAGTTATAAAGTAGGTCTTTATTTCATAATCTTGTGGGATAAAAGGCAAATAAATGTTCTTTAGTTTTTCCTAGGAGGAAATGTGGATTTCAACAGAATTTTTACTACCACTTAAAAAAGACAACAATCTTATAACACAATTAATTCCATATATGTAATCAAGTTCTTTTACACTATTTTCCCACAGGATCATATAACTGATTTTTTAAAGTCCATATTTTAAGAGTCATTAAGTAATATTAAGCCATGTAAACTCATCCCCACTGTTCCCTCCACTCCCCTGCCCTTTAACTTGTCTTAATCTTCCATGGCAACACATACCTAAGTGCAAACCCCTTTTCTAAAAAGGGTAAAGTTTCATTCAGGTTGGCTCTCACGCTGTAGTAGTACAACTACTTTCCAAAGCCAATGCATAATAGTTTGCTATTCCTAAAGCTCTGAAATGCAAAAATATTAATGTAAGGTTTATACATCTTGTTGCTCTATAAGTGGCCTAGAAATACAGTTTCTACTACTAGCTCCACCTGCTGTCACAATATTCAAACCTAAAATTACCTCTTCACAAAGACTTTCAGTAATTCTATTGCCATCAGATTTCATACTCAATAACAAATGCATTTACCTGTGTCTACCCCTGGAGTGAAAGAATATGTTCAGAAAATTTTAATTTCAAATACAGTGTTGGGTCTCCTGTGTACATTGTTCCATAATAACAGTTTCCTAAATACACTTTATTATAGTCGCACATTGGGATTGTAACACCACCAAGAACTACACAGACCTATGTGTTTATCTGAGTCTATTATTAATCTATCTAGAATCTATCTATCTATCTATCCAGGTGTTTGGATATCACCTGGGTAGTTGGACTCTATCAGTAATTTGCAGACTTTTTTTTTTAAGCTGTAGGAAAGGTGGTTCTTCATAAAACGAGAAAGCCTAATATATAGAGGAAATGAAAGCAGAGCTATTTTGTATGGAGCAAGGTGGCTTCCCCCCCAATTCCCCATTTGGCAGTGCCCCTGGAAGTGCCCCCACAGGACCCAGGATTGGGGACCATGCCTTCAAGACCACTGGGAGCAGTAATCTTTACAAATCCTTCTAGACTCTGCAGGTCTATGCATTTTGTATACCTCTGGTAAACACTTCCATCTTATAAACGACTTTTAGCAAGATGGACCCTTTCCACATTCTATAACAA